AACGTAAAGGAATAGTAATAAGCACTGAAAATCAGGCTCAATATAATTCAAATACGATTTTTGTTGCTAGCTAGTAAAAGAAATGAAACTTATTTAGTGGTTCCATCGTAATTACTAATTATGTTTATTTTGCGCATAACCGTCCCTAATTCTGAACTAATAAACTGGAGGGAAGGCAGCTAATCAACAATACCCACACCCAGTTCTAACTCTTCTACTCTTGTTTTAAGGAATAGGGAGATTTTCTTGTTTGCCGCTCTTATAGCGCAACCACTCCCCCAAAATGCGCAGTGGGTTTTTTTCGGCATCAGATTATCAAAAACAGCATTATATTAACTTTTAACAGTACTATTAGCCGTAATCCCAGTAATGATTCACTAAGTCTGGCCATCTTAAAATATTGGGGTTAGGGCCAAGCTAACATTAGAATTTATACCTATACGTACAGTATATACTAATACATGTAAATTAGTCCAAGAAACATCGATATAATTATTCAGATATTTCGTGTAATAGTTTTTCCATATATCGAACCAAAACCTAACTGCCTACGACTAATGCTTAATTTCGCACCACATATGGAGCTGTTGTGGTTCTAGTGCCAAGCATGTCAGTCAACTTCATACATTTAAACTGCAATGTTCGAGAAAAGCAATGTAATATTGATAAATGTTTACTGGGGAAATTGGGTTGCTACAAGAAATAATATCAAGGATATTAAAAAAAAGGAGCTTTTGAAACAAATTAACACTGCTTATTCTCTACGTTTAGTGCCCGGCATGGCCAGGTGGATAAGGCGCTCGACTCACAATCTGAGGGTCGCGGGTTCGAATCCGCATCCCACCAAACATGCTCGCCCTTTCAGCCGTGGGGGCGTTATAATGTGATGGTCAATCACACTATTCGTTGGTAAAAGAGTAGCCCAAGAGTTGGCGGTGGGTGGTGATGACTAGCTGCCTTCCCTCTAGTCTTTCACAGCTAAATTAGGGACGGCTAGCGCAGATAGCCCTTGTGTAGCTTTGCGCGAAATTCCAAAACAAACAAACAATCTCTACGTTTAAAAGTTTTAATGCTGCAAGCTTTTAGTCACCTCACAGTAACTGCTAACGTTTTTGGAAGCGTGTTACAATATAATGTCTCAACGTTGAGAGAAACTGTGTTATTGTTGTTTTAGTATTTGTTAACCAACCTTACGGGCTTTATATAAATAAAAGGCTTTAAATATGATGTCAGAGAGTTTTATTCTTTAATATGAAGTATGAATTTCCTAACACACCAAACTTAGTCTGTTACTTAATTGTATCTAAAGAATGAAAAATCCGACAAATTTTTTGTGTTACAAAATTAACCACACGAACAGATTGAACGTTCCATTGTATTGTTTTTTTCATTACACATGGGGATAGCTATGTTTCACTATTATACACAAATTTCGATGGCTTCCAAATCTTCAGTCATCGTTTGCGTTAGACAAATATTTGTATACAATCATTTTGTTGGCTCCATCTAAGTTCCAGTAATTTTGTTTGTCTTGTTTCTTAACGCAAAGATACACAATGGAATATCTGTGCTCTTGGCATTACGGGGAATCGAACCACGGATTGTAGCTCTATGAATCCACGAGCTTATCGCTGACTCATTGGAGACCTCTCTTCTTAGTTATCAACTTCTGTTTTATGAAAGTGACTTTCGATTTTTTTTCTAGTATGAACACTACCACTTTTCCACAGTGTATTTTTCTAATATCATAATTTGACACACGTTCACATTTACATTGAATAATTACACAGCTAGTAATAATGTGTAAACATTATTTTATAAATTACAAGTGAAATAATTTCATAGACAGTATTACACTGTAAAAATAAATATTCTAATGATTACTGATGGATTACAATCGTGTTAAATATTCTAATGATTACTGATGGATTACAATCGTGTTAAATATTCTAATGATTACTGATGGATTACAATCATGTTAGATATTTAATAATTACTGATGAATTACAATCGTGTTAAATATTTTAATAATTACTGATGGATTACAATCATGTTAAATATTCTAATAATTACTAATGGATTACAATCATGTTAAATATTTAATAATTACTGATGAATTACAATCGTGTTAAATATTCTAATAATTACTGATGGATTACAATTATGTTAAATATTCTAATAATTACTGATGGATTACAATCATGTTAAATATTCTAATAACTAGTAATGG